GGGGATCTCTCTGCTGATCCCCACTGAGCAAGTAGATGACAGGTCTGTTTGCTCCGCTGTTGCAGAGCGGACGCAGACACAGCCTGTTTTCTATGGAGCAGTCGGATGGAAATGGACCGCCTGTTTCCACCCGACTGTCATCAGATCTGACCCACTGGATGGATGGGGAACTGATCCCTGCCCATCTCTTTTTAGCATACAGGATCGTTTGCAGGAGGGGGTTAGTGGACACATGCCCGCTGGCACCCGCCGCTTCACAGAGAGCTATGGATGGTCCGATCGGGTCTGCCTAAACAACTGACAGGTGGACCTGATTGGACTGTCAGTGTGAAAGGGGCCTAATCTATATCCACTCCATCCAAAATAGGACAAAAAAAGTGTGTTTTTAGTTAACATTTAATCACAAAGTTTTTGCTGATCATAGCAGAAATGATAAAAATTGCTCTGGTCCATAGGGGGTGACCAGGTATGAGTGGTGAAATGGTTTGTCTCAAATACATGAGAAAAATGTTATTTGGGTACAGCTCTGCATGACGAACTGTCAGTGTGACAGCACTGAAGTCTCAAAAAGGCCTCTTTCACACTGGTGCGTCGTATGTTTGTTTTTTTGAAAACCCTATTAAATGGATCATCCGTTTCTTTCGTAAAAAAAAACAACAAAAAAAAATCGGAAAGGACAAAAAACAAATGTAAATGGATGAAAAACAGATAAAAAAGTGTTTGAAAAATCAGATATAAACTGATCCATTTTTTTCTTTGAAAAAAATGTGACGGAGTTGATGAAAAAAAAACCAGAGGACCTGTGTTACAGGACTTAAATGGTCTGACTAGGAAGGGGGTGCAAGTGTGTGGTATGGAAGTGGTTAAGCAGGGTATATACGCATTTTTGTTGGTTTTCAACCAGCAGTCTGAAGGAGAAAAAAAAAACCTGATGGATTCCCACATCTGGGGTCACAATACACAGCTCTATGCTGCACTGGAGGATCAAATGCTGATTTTCCAACATCACCCTTCAACAGAAGTTGGTTTAACACCCGAGGGGGCTATAGATGTACTTCAATTCTGCTGGCTTGCCCCCCCCCATTATGTGAAATTGGCGGAAGCTGACAGCAGGTGCTTCAGTATTGGCACCGCTGATTGGATGTGGCCATTAGTCAGTGAAGTAGACGCACTACCTCCCCCTGTTGAATGCTCTGCACCTGTCCTCAATCATACACCTGCCGCTCCCCCGCCAGGCACCTTGCCCCCCTCAGCACTGGCACACTGCGCCCGTCTCCTCACGGACTGGCTGTGCACGTGCTGGGGCCACAAAGCCGTCCGTGTGTGATGTCAGGTGACCTGGCTGGAGGGGCGCACTGGCGCGCTCCTTGTAGGGGGGCGTTGCGCACAGTGCGGTGCTCTCCCTTAGCCTGGACAAGGAGCGGGCACACTACATCCAGTGGTATTTAGCGATGTGGTAAAGCCCCCGCCGGCGGTCCCCTGTTCGGGCGCCGCTTGATGACGCGCTGTCTCCTCCTCCTCCCGCGGCTGCCCTGGGCTCAATAGTCGGGCCGGCTGGCTGGCGGGGCGTTGCGCACGGTGAGAGCGCGCCGTCGGGTTTGTGTGTCGGTGTGAGCCATGTTCCGGAGCTGGTGTGCCGAGCCTGAGGTAATCTCCCACCCCTACCCGTCTATGAGAGGACTGTGCAGTGTGCTCCCTGCGCTCTTCTCTGATGCGCCCCAGCGCGCTCACCGTGCCTGGCCTTTCCTGGGTGTCGTGTCTCCCCAGGAGTCCCCCCACTGAACCCCGGCTCCTCTCCTATGGGCGGCCCATAGAGGGGCTCAGCGGCCGCTTCATCTCGGCTGAGTTCGGTGCCCGGAGAGGGTCAGCAGGTCCGCCTGTAGTGGCACCATGGTGGATGTGCGGTGCCACTTGTCAGGGGCTGGAGAGGAGGAGCGGGGCCTCCAGGACAGCGCACGGTTCGGTGCTTGGAATCAAGCTGGGCTGTGCTGGACACCGGGCTCCCGTAGTGGCTGTGCTGAGCGCCCGGGAGGGAGGCTTCGGGCTGTACGGAGCTGTGTGCGCAATGGGCAGGGGGAGCTGGGAGCGCATGAGCCGGCCTGTGTGTGCATGATCTGCCCGAGCTGCTCACATGTCTTTGTTTACTCCTCACCTTCCAGCAGGTGACGGACACTCTGTCCAATCTATTGCTAGTATGTCTGTAGCCCGGTGTGATCACAATCAGTCCTCCGGGTCCAGCATACAGAGGATCAGGCCACCCAGGACTCAGGATTGTCCCCCTACTGTCAGGGATCCAACTGTCTCTGACAGCCATCGGATAGGGATTACATTTCTGGATCCTCTGTATTTCAGTGGTCAGGGAAGAATCTACCGACTTCAATACTGGGCACTTTCCACCCCTTCATGCCCTGGCCAATTTTCTGCTTTCAGTGCTGTTGCACTTTGACAATTGTGCGGTCATGCAACACTGTACCCATATGACATTATCATTTTTTTCACACAAATAGAGCTTTTGGTGATATTTAATCAACACTGGGTTTTTAATTTTTTTGCTAAATGAAAAGACTGAAAATTGTGGGGGGAGTTCTTAGTTTCTGTTGTAAAATGTTGCAAATTTTCTCTTTCGCTAATGGGCATTGATGAGACTGCCCTGATCATCTGTGTAAATGTCCCCTGTCAGAATTGACAGTTACTGGCTCTTCTCACACTGTGTAATGGCGGGAAGAAAGGACTGCCGATAACTGGCAAGTCTATTTACAATGTGACCAGTTGTGAGTGGACACAGCTGATCACATGGTAAAGGGCCACTTGGACTGGCCCTTTACCATGATCTGTGATCAGCTGTTTCCAAAGGACCCAGAGCACTCCGGATGTGCGCCCATCCAGAGAATCCCTCCCAGAATGAGAGAACCACGCAATAGCATGGTATTAAGGTGTTTAAAGCTTTGTTTCCACCTGTGCAGTTTTTTGTTTTGTTTTTCATTTTGCAGAAACGCACTACAGTTCATTTAATATGGTTTCCTATGGGTCACATTCACATCTGCATTTTTCAGCCACTGTGTTTTTGGCAAGGGTCAGAGCCTCCCCTTCCCCCCACAGCAGATTGCATTTTTGGTGCGTTAGACTTCAATGGAACTGCCCCAAAAACACAAGTGTTGCATTTTTGATGTGTGTTGCTTTTTTTGGCCAATATGAAAGTATTGAGTGTGACTGATTGATGCGACTTTACTCTCAAGTCACATCAAAGTAGCGCAAGGACTTTCTAAAATTTTGCTGCAACTTTGAAAGGTTTTTGCACTACTTTGATGCGACTTTATACTCTCTGGCACTCGGTCACATCAAAGTAGTGCAGGCATATTTTCAAAGTTGCTGCGACTGTGAAAAGGTTGCTGCACTGCTTTGATGCTACTTTGAGTGCCAGAAAGTGTAAAGTCGCATGAAAGTTGCACTCAGTGCTTTCCTATTTGAAAAAAAACCGCAAAATGCGTAAAAGTGTCAATTGCATAGTCAAAAAAACACTGCAAAATGCACTGGAAAAACTCAATCGCAGTAAGTTTAGGAGTGAACCAGGCTCGAGGGCCAGATCACACTGGAAAGCGCATATCCCCACAAAGTCCAATTTTTGACGGTTCATTCTATTGAATGGGCTGCCAAATGCTTGGTAGTATGCAAAACACAGAGCAACCACGATTTGGTTTTCAGATTGCACTGCACGTCACCAAATGCCAAGGTACTGAGGAGGAGATTTACTAAAGCCGGAGCACTTGGTGTAGCTGTGCATGGTAGCCAATCGTCTTCTAACTTCAGCTTATTCAATTAAGTTTTGACAAAACCTGGAAGCTGATTGGTTGGTATGCACAGCTGCACCAGATTCTTTGCACCAGTTTTTAGGTCCTTTTTACATAGGCGTTCCTTCTTTTTTTTTTTTTTTTGTTTTAGCAGTTTTTTACATCAAGTACCACTGCATAAACAGACCGTTTTGTCCATTTACATCCACTTTTCATCCGTTCTGTTTTACTTAACGGAACAAAAATGCAGACCTGTTCTGTTTAAAATTACCTGAATGGAATTGGACAAAAAAACCTGATGTAGAGCGACGGCGTCTGTTTTTCTTAGAGATGCATTGATGTTTGTTTTTCATCCATGGATGAAAAATGGACAAAAAGAACACCAGTGTGAAAGAGGTCTTAGTAGGACCTCATTCGCATTATACACGCAGAAACACAGATTTCCTTGTAGAGACATTTTGCCTCCTTCCTCATTGTCCAGTTTTCATGCCCGTTTCAGATATCTGTATGTGTTCTGTGAACGGGGCACATGGAGAACAATTGTTTTCTTTGTGCCCATGCAGAAAAACCTTACGTCTCTGCACCATGGAGAGAACAAGGTTTTAATCTCCTGCATTATGGAAACGTCAGCCTCAGTGCTCCCTGCTCAGTGCCACAGATTCTCATACCTGTTTTGACCGGTGCATGAATGTCAACTGTAGTGATATTTGCCATGCAAAGGAGTAACAAAATTCTAAAGAGTGCCTGAACTTCTCTGAAGTAAGTTGTTTATGCCTTTTGTATGTAGGGGGACCTTCGCCAGTTGCAGAATGAATTTGGGAGTGACCAGACCTCTCCTTGATGGTATTGCATGATTGAGAATTATCTGGTTTCACTTTTCAACATTAAGGAGCCCATTTAGTCTGACAATCTCCCAACTCTGTGTGCAGAAATGCAGTCCTAACCAGCAAAAGGAGACTCCACTATGCTTTTCTTTTTCCTGCGGACACTCATATTTATTTATTGTAAGTACTTGTATAGCACCGTCAATTTACTCAGCACTTGACGTTATATTGTACATTCACATCTGTCCCTAACCCTCAAGGAGTGTACAATCTAAGGTCCCTAACATACACTATATTGCCAAACGTATTGGGACACTTCTCAGATCATTGGCTTCAGGTGTTCCAATCACCTCCATGGCCACAGGTGTATAAAATCAAGCACCTAGGCAGGCAGACTGCTTCTACAAACATTTGTGAAAGAATGGGTCACACTCAGGAGCTCAGTGAATTCAAGTGTGGTACTGTGATAGGTTGCCACCTGTGCAATAAGTTCATCAGTGAAATTTCCTTGATACTAAATATTCCATGGTCAGCTGTTAGTGGTATAACAAAGTGGAAACAACTGGGAACAGCAGCAGCTCAGCCACAAAGTTGTAGGCCGTGTAAAATGACAGAGCAGAGTCAGCGCATGCTGAAGCGCACAGTGCCCAGAAGTTGCCAACTTTCTGCAGAGTCAATAGCTAAAGACCTCCAAACTTCTTGTGGCCTATAGATTAGCACAACGGTGAGTAGAGTGCTTCATGGAATGGGTTTCCATGGCCGAGCAGGTGCATCCAAGCCTTACACCACCAAGTGCAATGCAAAGCGTCAGATGCCGTGGTGTAAAGTACGCCTCCACTAGACTTTAGAGCAGTGGCGACGTGTTCTCTGGAGTGATGAATCGTGCTTCTCTGACATTCTGATGGACGTGTCTGGGTTTGGTGGTTGCCAGCAGAATGGTACTTTACTGCATTGTGCCAAATGTAAACTTTGGAGGAGGGATAATGGTGTGGGGTTGTTTTTCACGGGTTGGGCTTGGCCCCTTAGTTCCAGTGAAGGAAACCCTTAAAGCATCAGCATAGCAAGATATTTTGGCCACTTTCATGCTCCCAACTTTGTGAGAACAGTTTGGGAATGGCCCTTCCTGTTCCAACATAACTGTGCACCAGTGCACAAAGTAAGGCCCATAAAAACATGGATGATCGCGTTTGGGGTGGAGGAACTTGACTGGCCTGCACAAAGTCCTGACCTCAACCTAATAGAACACCTTTGGGATGAATTGGAGCAGAGACTGTGAGCCAGGTCTTCTTGTCTGACATCAGTGCATGACCTCCAAAAATTTGCTTCTGTAAGAATGGTCAAATATTCCCTTAGACACATTCCTAAATCTTGTGGACAGCCTTCCCAGAAGAGTTGAAGCTGTTACAGCTGCAAAGGGTGGGCCAACTCGAAATTGAACCCTATGGACTAAGACTGGGATTCCATTAAAGTTCATGTCCGTGTAGAGGCAGGCGTCCCAATGCTTTTGGCAATAATAGTGTACAATTATACATATGAATTGGAGTGTGGTAGAAAACCGGAGGAAACGCAGGCACACGGAGAACATGCAAACTCCATGCCAATGACCCCAGTGCTGCCAGGTGGAAGTGCTAACCACTTGGCCACTGTGCTGCGCATATATATATATGTATTTTACCACGCTCCAAACTGTCTTGTTACAGCCTGATATTGCTCGTTTTGACTCATCAGTTCAAAGTCCCTGCTGCCATTATTCTGCTCACCAGGTTGTGTTTTACCTAATTTTCCAGGCCCTGTAGAGTGATTCCACCCACCTAAAGAGGCATTTTAACGGTTCTGTTCTATGCTATTTTGCAAGCCAAAGCCCAGTCTGGCAAACCCAAGAACCCACTTCGGACAGGACAAGCAGTGAAAAATTTAACTCAAAAATGATTTGCCTCCTTGAACAAACCTGCCAGCATTGCACTTCAGTATCCTATATTTTGCAAAGGCAATGCATTAAAAGCCCAAACAGGTCATCAGTTTAGAGTTAAGTGTGAAGAACAAGCATAGAATTATTGCTCTCACTCTGACCTGCACAGAGATGTGTAGCGCAGGTGTTTTCATGCGTAGGTTCACCTGACGTGTGCATTCACATTGGTACATGCATGGGAAGGCTCAAAAAATTTTTTTTTTCTAGAATGATGGGTGACACTTTTAATTTTTAAACCTTTTTTGCTTGTGTTTTTTTTTTTTTTTTTTTTGTAATTAGTTTTTTTATTCATCACACAGGAGTCAAAATATCCGCTATGCATTGTTGGATGACATCTTCTCTTTAATGCAACCTTGGGAATCTAAAAGTCCCCCGATGTCTCATCTGTCCTCTAGTGATAGAAATGGAGTTCAAATTGAAGTATAGCTTGGGAAAGTGGCACCAGGACCTCTAAGTGCCATTTCCCAGTTTGCTTTCAGGTAATTGGGAAGGAGGTCAGTGAACTGAGGTTTGCTCACCTCCCTGCCCTCTACCTGGCGGGATATGCCATGCTGATCCTGGGTGCACTGATGGGCATGTGGAGCCTTGGAAACATGGCAGCTGTGCACGTGTGCAGGGGAAAATGGCAGTTATTGGGGTGTGTGAAAGCGATCAGCTTCCATCCGACAACTGACATCAGCTTGTCAGATTTAAACACGCCCTGTGTAAACCTCCTTCTAAAAGAGTTAAGGCTATTCATGCCACTCTGGGCATAAAAAAAGTGCATAAACATCTCTATAGAGTTTATACAGGGCTATGGGGCTAAAAGTCCCAGTCATTTCCTGTTGAAGCTATCAAAGGTGGAGTGGAAGGAGCCCAAAAAATATGTACCCGGGGCCCCCCCCCCCCCCCCCCCCCCCTTTCTTCGAGCCAACAGAATAGATTCCCTTTTTCAAAGAGGACATTAAACTCAGGACAGGAAATCCCTAAATTGGATGGCTGCTTGTGCTGCACCTCAAAAAGTTCAGACCTCTTTTGAACCTGTGGACAAGAAAGCAGACTAATTACTCAGAAAAGCCTGGGAATCAGCGGACACTAATTTTAGATATGCACTGGCAACCAGTTATGTAGCACTCAATTTATAACTGTGGTTGGACCAACTCGGAACCCAACTTGAGTCAGTTGCGAGAACAAGGTTTTACAGTCACTGCCAGCTTTGCTTAAAGCAGCTAGATGTGTTTCAGCTGATTTGCCAGAGTTGGCATGCATCACCCCTGGTTAATGGAATGCGGAGGAATTTATGGTTAACATCGTTGAGAGTCCACGTTTGAGTCAACTTTGTGAATTCCATTCAGATGAGAACTCTTATTTGGCAGTGAGCTTAAAACTGTCCTGGATAGACGTGCTAAGAGGTTTTCCCAAAAGAGAAAAAAATAATCCTTTTCATAACCAATACTTTCAAAACCGAAAAGGGACCAAGAACCGGGACACTTGAAAGAACTGGCCCATACAAAAAAAGGATTCTTATTTAAAGAATATGTAAACCCAACATTTCCTATTCCTGCTGTACCATGTACTTCTTTGAAAAACTGTTCTGCTCTTTGTATTGCTTCTTTTAGGTGATATCCCTGGTAATCCTGGTGTTCCCTCTGTTTTTTCTATTTAAAACTAGTCAGGAGAACACAGTGCGGTCATTTCTCTAGCTGTGCAGGGAATTTATCTCGCTCTCCTTCAATGGTCAGACTTGCATCCTCAGATACAGTGTGGATGGACTCAAAATCGATTATGGATCTCACACTGCAAAATATATTCCCATGGGCAACAAGTTTAAAATGCTAAAAATCAAACCTATGTGGCTTACGGCCGAAGTTAAAAACAAAAGCTATATATAAGAAAAGAGCTTTTATTAAATATTAAAATGAAGGAATTCTATCATCGTTTAAACATAAAGAATATAACAGAATATGCAAAAAAGAAATAAAGGCCACAAAAATTGAAAACGAATGACAGATTGCAAGAGATAGCAGGACAAACCCCCAAAAATTCAAATATATCAATAGTAAAGCGGTCCGGTCTGAGCATGTAGGCCCTTTACAAAATAATGGAGAGTGGGCGACTGGGGACAAAGAGAAGGCAAATTTATTAAATACCTTCTTCAGCTCTGTGTATATGAAGGAGCATGGGGTAGCTCTTGTCCATAATGGGCATGGTATTGACACAGCTCCAGATGATCCACATTGGCTCACAACTGATATGATCCAAAAATATTTAGACAGAATAAAGGTGAATAAAGCACCTGGACCAGATGACATACACCCACGGCTCCTTAAAGAATTGAGCTCTGTCATTTCAAAGCCATTGTTTCTAATTTTTAGGGACTCTTTAATGACTGCCATAGTACCACTGGATTGGCGTAAGGCCAACATTTAAAAGGGGTCAAAATCTTTACCAAGTAATTATAGACCTGTTTAACTTCTATAGATGGGAAGATACTGGAGAGTTTAATAAAAGACCACATAGATGAGCTCTTTCTGGGAAAAAATATTTTAAACCGCATGGATTCATGAAAGAGAGAAGTTCTCAGACAAATCTGATTTCTTTTTATGAGGAGGTGAGCAAAACCTTGGACAGAGGGGTGGCGGTGGCTGTGGTATACTTGGTTATTGCAAAAGTGTTTGACACAGTTCCCCACACACGGCTAATGTGTAAGGTAAAGTCTACAGGCTTGGAAAAAATCTGTATGTAAATGGTTAGAAAACTGGCTAAGAGATTGTGTTCAGAGAGTAGTGGTTAATGATCCATTCTCTGAATGGTCTAGGGTTGTTAGCGGTGTACCCCAGTGTTCAGTGTTGGGACCCTTACTTTTTAATACATTTATATTATAAATGATATAGGGTCTGGAATTAAAAATAACATTTCAGTCTTTGCCGATGACACCAAGCTGTGCAGTGGAATAATGTCCTTACAGGATGTGTCCAAGTTAGAAGCCAACCTCAATGCTCTGTTTAATTGGGCAACTATGTGCAAATGAGGTTTAATGTTAATAAATGTAAGGTTATGCACTTGTGAATTAAGAATATGCATGTATCATACATACTAGGGGGGTACAACTGGGGGAATCAATGGTGAAGAATCTGGGGCTTCTGGGAGATCACAAGCTTAATAATGGCATGCAATGCCAAGCTGCGGTTTCTAACGCAAGCAAAATCCTTTCTTGTATTAAGAGGTATAGACTCCAGAGAGAGAGATATCATTCTACCCCCTGTACAAATCATTAGTAACACCTCATCTGGAATATGCAGTTTAATTTTGGGCACCAATTCACAAAAAGAACATTGGGGAACTGGAGAAAGTGCAGAGAAGGGCAACAAACTGATAGCGGCATGGAGGAGATCAGCTATGGGGAAAGATTAGAGGAACTGAATTTATTCTCTTGAGAAGAGATTAAGGGGGAGATATGATCAACATGTATATAGTACATCAGGGGTTCATATAGTGAACTTGCTGTAGCGTTATCCACCTTGAGGTCATCAGAGGACAAGGGGCCACTCTATGTCTGGGGGAAAATAAATTTAATCTTCAAACATGGAAAGGTTTCTTCACTGTAAGAGCTGTGAAAATGTGGAATAGACTCCCTCAAGAGTTGGTTCTGGCCAGCTCAGTGGATTGCTTTAAAAAAGACCTAGATTCTTTCTTAGATACACAGAATATAACTGGATACTAACATTTATAGGTAAAGTTGATCCAAGGAATATCCAATTGCCTCTCGGGGGATCAGGAAGGAATTTTTTCCCCTGCAGGAGCAAATTGCATCATGCTTTGCTGGTTTTTTTTTACTTCCTCTGGATCAACTGTGGGTGTAGGATTAGAACTTTTTTTTTTTTTTTTTTTTTTTAACTG